CCCGTGTCGAGCTTTTTGGAAGGCAACCTGCGCGAGATGACGGCCGACGACCCGACGCCGGTGCAGTCGATGCTCGTGGCCGTGGCGCCGTCGTCGCCCATGGTGCTCCTTGGCCTCGTCTGTGTCGTCGCTGCTGCCGTCGCCATGGTCACGATGCGCCAGCGCCGCGACGAGCTCGCGCTGGACGACGCCACGTACAAGCTCTTGGCGACGCACGAAGACGCATCGGCCGCCTTTTGAAGTCGCGGTGACGACCTTGCATACTGTACGACTACATGGTTAGCAACAATACAACTTGTACTTTTGGTTGCTAAAAAGAAGTGTAAAAAGCGCCTTGGCGTCCGTCAGGAGAGACACGTGGAGGGTGTTCGACGGAATTCTCGCCGGCGCGCAACGCTACGTGCGTCAAGACAGTGACTGCTTCAACAACGGTTGGCACACATATGGGCAGTGACGTCTTGGTCCGGCAAAGGCTAGTGACATTCAATTTGGTCGTAACCAGTGGGACCTCGCGATGATCAAGGTAGCATCCTCAAGTCGAGTTGCTTCCTTATAAAGAAATGAACACCTGGATCCTCCCTTGCGCCAGCATCCGCTACGTTCCCACTAGGGGTAGGTTTCGTGTCAATTGTATCAGACCCCAACGTTCTTCTCCGCGACGACGGCTTACTCAAGCAACAACAGGCAACTCACCACAGGCCCATTTGCGAATTGTCGCTCATGCCGGGTCCAACACCGTCGTGCATGGCTGGCTATGCACCGGCCGCCTCCTAGCGCCTCAACGAACGAGCCAGTACTCGGAGCGATGCATCGAACGCCACGACTGCCGCGGCGATAACCTGCAGAACGAATGAGCCTGCAAGCCAGCAAGGTGTCGCCAGCGTGATCATGCCTCTTAAGCGAGCGTGTCGAACGAACACGCTTCGTTCAACCAGAGGAGAGCAATACACTTTAGCCAATCACCGCAACTCATATCCGGGAACGGCCATAGATTCGCATCAGTACATTGGCAGGCTTTGTGGCCGTGTCATGTCGAGGCTCTAGAGTCATGACGTTGTTGCATCGTATGAGCGAGTCGGCCCAGTACGGCGTCGCCGTGGCCCATTGTCGACGGGATCACTGGCGCGTCAGCCACGAGAGCGCCGTCGAGATGGGCGCCTGCAAGGTCGCTAAACGAGCGACAACGCTACAATCGAGACATGATGTCCAGCATTCTAGTCGCCGCGTCGTCCTCTGCGAGAGCACCTCCCGAGTGAGGTCTTCTTCTAGCGCGCACCTGCAGCCACGGCCGCATCACATCCGACGTCCGCTCGTTGCTGCGCCCATGAATTGCGCGCTTGGCTAGCTGTCACAACAGTCAGCTCGACCTCGATCAGCATCTTTGGACTCGCGCCAGCGCACCGACTGCAGGACAAGCGCAATAAAACATTTCCGCCAATCACAGCTGAGCGGCTGATGGACGGGAGCCAATCACGCGCCACTTGGTATATTGGGTCGAGGCCATGCACGCGTCCTTCGTGTGCCCCTTGACGCACCGCGTCATGGTGGACCCGGTCGTCGCCGCCGACGGCCGGTCATACGAGCGGTCGGCGATCATCGAGTGGCTCGAGACGCACGAGGCAGCGCCCGGGGCCGACGCGCCGCTGCCGTCCAAGGCGCTGCTGCCGAACCTCGCACTGCGCGACGCGATCCGCGAGGCCGCGGCCAAGGGCACCGAGCAGCTGCCGCAGACCGGGTACTTTATCTACCGCTCCTTGCGCGCCATGCACGCGTGCGCGCTGCCGTCGTTTCTGCACCGCGGGATGCTGCCAAACCGCCAGCCATTCGTGATTCCGGCCGACGAACTCGTCATTGTGACGCGGCGCGAGCGCGGCGCCGGCTGCAACGACGTCTTCTTGCGGACCGAAGGCAACATCTTCCTCTTTGAATCCGAGTTTGGCGTGCCCACCGCGGTCCGCCTCGAGCCGCTGCGCGAGCTGCGCGTCTACCGCGCGCGCAAGATCACGAGTCTGACGCTCCGGCCCGTCAAGTTTGCCCCCTTGCCACAAACGCGCACTCTCCAGCCGGGCGAAGTCATTTCGACCGACATGTTCGTGCACGACGCCAACGGAGTGGGCTTTGCGCGCAGCGAAAGCTCGGGTAGCTGGGTCAACACCATGTTCCTGGACCTGGTCCCGCCGCCGACGACGAAGCAGAGCTTTTGTGTACCGGCCGCCACGATGCTCTGTAGCAATTGTCTTGCCATCGACGCCCGTGTGATTAGCAGCACCGTCATACCCCCGGGCACCGTCGTTCTCGGACAGACCGTCGTTTCGATCTCGGCGACCAAGCTCGCGGTGCGCACAACCTACTGTGGTGTGACGGGTTGGTTTGAAGTATCGCCTTCGACAGTGGTGACAGCCAGCAGCGGCGCCAGCGCTACTGTGAACTCGACGACCGACGCACCGCCCGCCAAAGTGCGACGGTTGGATGCTGCGCACGTCGCGCCGTCGTCGCAGCCGACACCCCGGCCCGTTGCAGCACCTGGTCCTCGGGATGCTCTTACGAAAGCACAGCAAAGTCAGAGCAAGGCGGCTCCAACCTCCAAACCAACCACGACCCCTGCGATACCAAAGACGCTCGGAAAGGCATCAACGGCAACACCGGTAGCGGTACGGGCAGTGACGCCAGCATCATCACCGACAATGACACCAGTCGCCACGCCGGCAGCAAAGGCAGCACCAACGCCAGTCGCCACACCGTCGGCGTTGTTGGCTGCTACTATACCGGCAGCAACACCGTCCTCAACCCCGGCGGCCTCCCCGGCGGCTGCGCTGACCACACATCGAGCCTCGCCGGCAGCAAAAACGACGTCACGGGACACCACACCCGCAAAAGCGACGGCCGCAACCTCGACCAAGGCGCTCGAGGCCTCCCATGCGACCCCAACTCGACCTCTATCAATGGCGCCGACAACGACTGCGTCGCACTCGTTCCTGTCGCCATCCAGTGTCCGCAACACGCTGTCGGTGCCGTCGCCAGTCAAGAGGCACTTGCAAGCGACCACCAAATCAACGGCAGCATCATCTCCATCCCCGAGCACGACCAAAGCCGCCGTGCCTGCCTCCGCTCCACAAGCGCACGCGGGTGTCTCTGGGACAAGTGTCACGGCCGCGCCCGCACCAGCCCCCGTGGGCAAAATGCCGGTTGCAAGACTGCCGACGCCAGCGTGCACACCGACGCCGGTGACGGCGACGTTGCCACAGAAAGGCTACTTTATCTATCGCACGCTCGACCGTGTCGTGCTCTCGCGGACGCCGTCGTCGAGCGACCGCATTTTGCTGGCGTCGGGTGCGCCCCGGAGGTTGCCGCCCAATGAACTCGTCGTCGTGACGCAGCGCGTGCGGGGCGACGTCCACGCGCCCGTCTTTCTAGCGCTCGAGAGCGATGCCACCGACCCAATGTTCCTCCCCGAAGCCGTCGATGGCGTTGACGTTGCTGAGGTCGTCCTGCCGTCAAGTGATCTTGGTGTTTACGAGACGATCGCTCCAACGCCCGTGACGCGGCATCCGATGGCACCGACGTCGACGGACGCGCGTCTTCCGCCAGGCTGCCTCCTCTCGACCGACTTGCACGTCGACGACATGACGGGTGGCGAGTATGTGCGCCTCGAACACTCGACGCACTGGGTGCCACTGGCGAGTCTGCGGCCCCTCAAGAACGCCCCCGGGCGGCATTCGTTTGTGATGGACGCCGCCACGCCGCTCGTTTCCAATGCGTACAGTGGTCTCTCGGTGCCGATTGCCGTCGTACCTCGCGGCACAACGCTCGGTGGTCGCATCGTTGTCGACCTACCCGGTGCTTCGCAGTGTCTTGTTCGCGCTATGCACAAAGGAGCGACGGGCTGGTTCTTTGCGACGCGGCCGGCTTCGCTGCTCGCGGCAGCACCGGTCGCACCCAAGCAGTCACGAACGCCAGTCAAGCCCGAGCCGTCGTCCGATTCGGACATCGAGATTATGTCGCCGCCGACCACTCGCACAAATGAAGAGCCACCACTACCAGCACCACATGCTGCACCAACGCCTGCTCCACCAGTGCCGAGTCTGGCGCCTGCCATCCAGTCATCGCTCTCCGCCCCGCAGCCGCGCCAAGAGCCCCTCGTCTCGGTCTCCCAGCAGCGCCACACGGCGGCTTCCGCGCCACGGCGGTCGCGGAAAGCAGCCGCGTCCAAGGCCCGTCGGGTACCACCGCCCGTCGAGGTGGTGCCGCCCGGACGGCAGCTCAAGGTTGTGCTGCGCGGCGGCTACTACGCGGTGCTGCACACGCCGGTGAATGGTCGCAGTACGATCCTTGGCGAGTACTTGCCGCTCCCGCTCAGCGAGCGCATTGGCCAAGTGTGCTTCATGGGCCACTGCATCACGCATCTGGCGCTGTCGCCCGACGACGCTTGGTACTTGAGTCTCGAGCGCAGCGCCGGTGCCGCCTACACGATCGTGAGCCCGGCTGCGAACGAGTATGTCCGCCACCACGCCAAGCCCAAGATGCGCATCGCCTTTGCGAACGGCCGCATCGTGCTCGCCCCCGAGGCGGGCCCGGCGCTCTCGCGCGGATTTGCCGGCTCGATCCTCCAGCGACGACTCTCGTCGTCCAAGAAGGTCGACATTTTGGCCATGGACGACGACGGCAGTGTCTTTATGCAAGACGCGCTCGGGCACGTCGCCCACGGTCTCTCGCAGGTACTGTTCGACACGATTCTCGAGCCATCGCCGGTCGGCGGCGGCGCTCTCGTGGACGGTACGTGCGACTGTTGGTGCATTCGGTAGTCGATGTTGCTCCTAGTCGTGCTTTCCAACGACAAGTACGTGCTGCTGTACGAACACACGTTTCGAGCGAGTCCTGCTGTCCCGAGCGTCGTCATCAATCTGCTCCATAACGCCTACGGCAAGCCAGGCAACGACGGCGAGTCGACGCTGGATCCGGTGACGACTCTGGGGTCGAGACCGCCAACAACAGTCGCGGCCCCGAGTACTGCGGCGACGGATTCCGAGGAATCGGGGCCCAATGTGCAAGAAGAACCGGGCGCTGTCCCCGATGTCAAGCCCGAACCTACGCTGCATGCGTCGTCCGAAATGACACACGCATTGGACATCGCGCAAGGATCGAAGGCCGAGCCAGACCCTGCTGCAGCCAAAGACATGGCGTCACTGCCTCATCCTGCGAGCCCGCCGCCGTCTCGACCTGCTAACCCGATCGTCGTTGGTCAGGAAGACGAATCTCCTGGTACGCGCTGCGCGGACGCTGCATCGACGCCGTCCACCGCCGTCGACGACGCATCGGTGTCAGTGGTCGATGCTGCCATTATCAAGGCAGAAGTACCAAACGTCCCGCCACCACCCAGTACCGTCAAGCAAGAACCAAGTGCGTTTGAGTTTGTTCCATCGACGCCGTCGCCGCCACTGTCGCCCGCGAAGGCTGCAAGCCCGTCGGCGTTGCCGGCAATGAAAGCCAGTCCGACGCCGCCACCAGCGCCGGTCTTTGGTCGGTTGCACGCCAGCCTTCTCGCTTCGTTTGAAGAAGACGACATTGATGTTTGGAGCATTTCCTAGTTCAATAAGAGTACAAATCGTGTACCCTTACTCGCATGGATCAAAACGTCGGCAACATCTGCGTGTCCCCGCTGCGACGCCAGCATGAGCACCGTCATGCCCTCCATCTATCACACGCATAAGGTTAGTGAACGTTGCATGGATGACGCGTCGCACGTTCGCGTCGGCCTGGTTCTGGAGAAGCGCCTGCACGACGACTGCGGCTTGGCCTTCAGGATGCGAGTATGGCTTTGTCTGTGGGCAACAAACACCCACACCGCACCAATACCTAACCCTCCGGTACTCTCAAAAACTCAACAACTAGCTGCTCAAGCAACCACCGCCAACCTTCCTGACTGTCGATCGACAAACGACTCGGCAAACCCCTTCTCCATGTCGTACCTTTGGACTAAAGTCGATCACTAATCGAACTCGTCGTAAAAAAGAGCAATTTGGTATTAGGACGATATTGCTCAGCCGAGGAGGTTGCCGTCGAGGATTTCAAAACGGTAGTTGGCGTCGTGGGCGTACTCGGGCACAACGTCGTCGGCTTCGCGCGTATATATCTTGGAGCTCAAGAACGCTTGACGCTTGAGCTGCGCGCGCACCTCCATCGAGTAGTTGCGCTCCATGAAGGCGAAAATGACATAGCGCAAAAAGAGCATGAGCGCAAAGAAGGCCAGAAACAAGAGGAGGCGGTCGTACGCCTCGAGACTCTCAAAGACGCCCGAGGTATACACCATGACGTAGCCGTTGGTCGCGATCGCAATCGTGGCTAGAATGTCGAGCACGGTGATCCACGCGCCCATGTTGGCCACCGGGCGCGGCATCGGGCGGCGATAGTCGGTGAGGAGCCGGTACGCGTCAATGCGGATCTCGAGCACATTGTTCAGCAACGAAAAGATTGGTGTGGCGGGGAACGCGCCGACAAAGAGGACCGTAAAGCCAAACTGCAGTACGAGCTCGAGGTAGTCGTTGTACGTCCCGCGCCAGCCATAGTCGTTGAGGAAGAACTGCCGCTCGACCGGGTGATGCACCTGCGTGTTGCTCGACGTGTGCGCTTGGCAGCGCGCAAGCCAAATAAAGACCCGCGGCAGAAGCACTTCTTGGATGTTGCCGGCAATGAGCTGCGTCCCAAAGATGATGACGAGCGTCGTCCGGAGCTCTTGGAGGCAGTCGCCGTTCTCGCAGTAGTCGTCGAGGCTCGACTTGATAAACGTTATGTAAAAGAGCGCGGCAAAGTTGTTGACAAAGTGAAAGATGATGCTCTTGAGGATGAACGAGCCTTCGTGCGCCGACTCGGTCGCATGGTTCTCAAAGTCGTTCATGCGCATGCACACGCGGTCGTAGATCTCGGCCATGAGCGCAATCTGGATCACGTTCGTGAGCGACGCGGCCGTGCCGCCATAGTAGAAACGCGTGCCATTGTTGCCCATCGCCAGCGCAAACGTCTCCTTGTGCGACACGGCCATGTAGTACCGGAGGTAGAACGTAAACGAGACGAGCACGAGGACGGCGAGCACGAGAAGCAGCAGCACGAGCCAGCTCTGGAGCATGCGCTTCCGCTGCTCCTTGCGGTCAAAGTACAAGATGGGCTTGCCCGTGATCGGCGACGGCACGAGCGTCCCGACAAACTGCGGGCGCGGCCGCTCTTCTTCCGTGTAGTCGGTCGTACCCCACTGCATCGCGAGCCGCGCGTTGTAGCGCTTCCAATACTCGAGCATGCACGTGGACCAGAGCACCATAAAGACGCTAAAGCCGCAGACGAGCACTTGGAGCCAGTGGGCGCCGAGCGAGAGCGTGAAGCCGTCGTAGAGCGGGACGTTGTTGAGGACCTCGAGGAGCCAAATGAGACTGCCAATAAGGCCGGCCGAGACGAGCCAGCTCGCATAATGCCCGAGAAACGCAAAGTAGAGCCCAATCTTGGGGCCAAAGTACCCCGCGATCTGGTCGATCGGCTGCGCAAACATCTTGCGCCGGTGGATCCACGCTTCGTAGAGCGCCGTCTTCTCCGCCGTGTTGTGCAGCGGAAAGGACGCGACGATCGTGCCGCTTTCTTCGAGCTTGGCGAGGTCGAGGCCCGCGCCGCCGCCATTCGCATTGGTGAGAATGCTCTCGATGAGGCAGATGCGCTCGACGCCCGAGAAGAAGTGGCCGGACGCCGGGTCGCGCGCGTAGAGATGCTGCATGTCGGGACGCTCCGTGTACGTCATGTGGATATACTCGTACGGCGAGAGCTTGTACTGGCCGAGCGTGTCTTCAATGTGGAAGGGCGCAATGTGCGCGTCCGGGTACCCGGCGAGCGCCGTCGCCCGCAGCGCGTCCGCGTCCATGAGCCGCGAAATGTCGATGCGGTCGGCTTCGTGCTTGAGGAGAGCAAAGGACGCGCGGACTTGGCAGAGAATGTACGGCGCAATGTCGCTGGACTCGTCCTTGGACGAGTAGAAGAGCCGCAGCTCGAGACCCGACTTGTGGATGCGATGGCACATGTCTTCGATGCTCAAGTGTTCGTTGGACGTGCGGAAGGCGTCGAGCACGTTGGTGATGCCGGTCGTGTCGAGGACGGTCGTAATGCCCGTCGTTATGCCTGTCGTGATGGTGTCGTGCGCGACCGAGATGCCACTGGTGATGCCATCGCGCGCCGCTTGCAGGTGCGGCAAGACGTGCGTGTGGATGGGCGCGCCGAGGTTGACGCTCGGAAGGTTGGCCATCGCACCGTGCAGCTTGGCCGCGAGGCCCTCGGCGGCGGGCGCGTCCACGGGCACGTTCGGGAACACGATCGCGTAGTCCCAGCCGTAGCCGTCGCGGAGGAAGAAGTCGTCGTCCTGCGCCTTGATCGAGACGCACGTGTGGCCCTTGTTGAGAAGCGGCTCGCCATCGAGCGTCATCTCGTCCAGCGGGATGCTACCGTACGTGGCCATGTGCACGGCTGGCAGCGAGTCCTTCAATGACCACAATCATGGGCAGTTCTGAAAATTGTATCAAGCCCGCTCGCCCTCCATCTAGAAACACCCAACTCGACGGCCTTGCCATATCAATGTCGACCGGTGAGCTAGAGCATGGCTGTACCGCTTCAAGCGCTGCACCTGCGCGTCGTTATAGCGGGCTGTATGCACACGCACGAGGCGAAATGGCACGGTATGCCAACGAGCTTGGACGTAGAGTTGCGTGCGACTAGTATATTGCCAGCCGCTGTTGTCGATCGAATATCAGTTGGGGCATATGAGAAAGGCAGCGGGACATGCTGTTCAGAGGCATGCTCCTTGCTCTTCTCGAAGCTCTGGGAGGGCGCGGGCATGGAGGCGCAGTGGAGGCTACTCCTACCTCGTCTTTGCTGCTGCAGCGATGCGCTGCCGACGAGGCAACTGCGCCATCCAAGTCGATGCCATCGAGGACAAGAGACGGAACGCACGCGAGCAATTCAGCGCTGCCAACTGAACTGTCAAAGCATGGAACGTCTCGCTCGAGCTCACAAGCGGTCGAGATGACCTCGACAAGGCCAAGACAAGATGCTCTCGGCTACGCACCGATCAAATGCCCTATGTACTAGTACAGTAGAGAGCAGTATTTCATTCTCGAGGTGCTGGGTGATCTATAGCGCCTCCAAGCCATGGCCGACCCATCAATACGAGATGAGCTCAAGAAGCCCGAGGAGGATGGCAGCACAGTAGTGTCGGCGTTCGATGTCATTGCGAGCGTTCGCAATATGAAAGGTTGCGTGGATATAGCCAAGTCGATTGTGTATCCGGATGTCCGGATAAAAGAAATCATTGATACTTGAACATGGACGCGGTCCGGTGCAAGGAATGGGAGCTCATGACGCTCCTCGAGGAAGAGGGAAGCATGGATGTACGACGAAGTATGAGCCTGATGCAGGATGAACATGCGCCTCCTGCCTGAAGGGAGTCCATGGGCTGGGTCTTCTTGACGTCGTCGACGATGTCGTTGGGCCGATGGGACCAAACGCGTGGACGAGCCCGACGTACCTCGCGTTCGTTCGCTTCTTCCTGCGTCGGGCAATGCTCCTCGACTACTCGACCATGAGCTCGATCGATCGCGATCGGGTCGTCACGGTCGCGCGGGCCGTTGTCCGAGGCGACGGCAGCCCCGTCGACGTCGTCCGCCATAGCACGCAGCTTTTGCTCCGGGTCGGCCATCGAAGCGCGCGCTTCGTCGTTCGCGCGCTGGGGACGGACCTCTTCACACTATCCGAGCTTCTCTTGCGGTACGACATGTAGCGCTATCGAAGAGGAGCTGATGGGGTGCTTTGGTAGCGCTCTCGGCGTCTTGGTACCATACATGAGATCGCTCTCGCCCATGGCCTCCATCTTTGTAGCATGCAATGTGCATGGAGCTCAGCGGACTGCAGTCGCTTCATCTCGTACGTGTATTCAATGGAGTTCACAAGGCGACTCCATGCAACGATAGCGCATGCACGAACCGCTCGGCGACATTCGCATCGCTGACGTGCTCAACAAGACGCTCGTGGCAGCCGACCCGCTCCTCCGCTTTGGCGCTGCCAAGGTCCTCTCTGTCATCCTCCTGGACACGCCGCATGCCCACGGTATGTCGATATTCATCCTCGCCACATTCGACCGGTCGATGCCTAGCCAAGTCGCTGCTGCTTGTGCTCGTCGATGCGTGCAACGAGGAGGTCCATGGGGCAACCCAAGCAAGCCTTTTCGCTCTGCTTTGGGATATCCTCTTTCTTCGTCAAGACCTCTTCTCTCTCGACGTGTGGGACGACATGGCGACGACGGCCATGGAGCAAGTCCATCTTCTCCCGACCACGGTGCATGCGATCATGCGACTCGTGCTTGCGCCGAGCACACCGGCTTCGCTCGATTGGCGTCTCGTGTCCCAACTGGTATACATATATGCCCTGTTCCTATGCCTCATGCGATGTTGTAGTTGGAGTGCGTCGTCGTTCTGTACGTGCACGAGAGTGCTACCTTGGGGAAGGAGGTACTGGCAGCACTGTACGCCTTTTTCACCGACGAGTGTGGACGCACCGAGTACCAGCAAGCGCTCGTGGGCCAGACACTGGTACGCCATGGCATCTCCTCTCACGTGTCTTACCGGGCGCTAGCTCCGTCGCAACCACCATGTAGCGTCCAAAACTTCGCTTCACATGGTCATGACACGATGCAAAGGCCTATGCCAACGGCATGGAGCTGCCGTGCGCTCACGACCCTTCGACGGCAAGTCTCTCGCAGATGCTCGCCACGCGCCCCGAAGTCGTTCTCAAGCGCGAGAACCAATTGCTGCAGGCGATGTTAACCCCAGATACCAAGACGTCGGTCGTCATAGCCTTTCAGCGGTATGTCCATCATCAAGCTCTCATTCTTACATTTTGGTGGTAGGATGATGCAAACGGCATTCTACTCCAGCTACTCGGTCGATCGAGTCCGAGTTCTCTTAGCATTCGACTGAGCGTCAATGCACCTTCTTGGTCGCACTGCCGTCGTCGTCGAACTCGTACAAGATTTGGTACACGACGATGCCGTTGAAGGCAACGACGACCGACCAAAAGAGGATCCAATGGCTCCACATGAGAAAGCCCACGGTAGCGTTGAGCGCCAGAAGCAGCACGTAGAGTGTGCTCGTCTTGCGACCGCCTGGCGCCCGTACATCGTGGGGTGAAATCGAAGGGCCATCAGTGGCCGTGGGTGGTGCTAATAGCGACGTCGTCTCCTCGTCGGCTCCATCGTCGTCGTCGTCGTTTTCGCTTACTTCGTCGTCATCGTCGTCCGACTTGGCGCCGATTTCGTGCTTGGTCGCCCAGCTCACGAGAAAGATCGACTTGGAAATGGCTTGGCGCCAGCTCACAAAGTCGTCTTCGCTCTCTGTGCACAGAATCCTAAGCAACTTTCAGGCTGGACCGACGACCCGTCGCCGCATTCTACCACATGACTTTGCCGCGGCTCACAGTAAACACAAACGGTGTCGGGCCATGGAGGTGCCGGGCGTCAACGACCGACAACGAGGCCTCGGCCGACGCCAGTTTCAAGCGGCCTTGGGGACCCTCCCTACAGTAGTGCATTGATCGCACCGGTAGCAGTGGCAAGGCGGCGACAGACCGTGTCACGGACGCTTGATTGTCGTAGCATCGAAGGATGCCATTGTTGCCGTCGAGCGTAAACCACTTGCGGTACCACGACTCGCCGCCGCCGTGCAGAAGCGCGTGCTTGAGCTTCGTCTGGCGGCGCTGGATGATCATCGGGCCGGCTTTGAGCCACGGCTCGGGCTTGGACCAGCCAATGATCTTGCGCATTGACGTGTGCACGAGGCGCCGCGGCGACAGCAGGATCGGCGCTCGGTGGACGTGTTCAATATAGCCTGTCGGTGTCTCGGCGCTCGTGTCGCTGGCACGGGACGTCTCAGCACTGCGCGGCTTGGGCGACTGCCTACATGGCCATGATACCTCGTTCGAGAAGGAGGCGGCTACGAGCGCGGCGACTTGGCGACGACTTCGGCGTGGTATGTGACCACCTTGGACCGGTGCCAGACGTACGAGTTGTCCCACGTGAGCGTGCAGAGCCCGGGCGTCGGGCAGCGCACGAGGCCCTTGAGCGCAGCCTCGCGCGAGTAGACTTGAAGCGTGTCGTCGTTGAGCGAGATCGAGAAGCCAATGTCGTGCTTGCGCGTGGCGAACTGGTATGCGACGGCCGCGTGCGCACTCGGGATCTCGAGCGACACCGAGTACGATTGGCCTTTCCGAATCGTGACGGTGGTCGCATCATTCGGCGGCAGCACGTCGTCGTCGTCGCTGCCGTCGGACGCGGCGGGCGTCGGGTCGCGAAAGAACTGCCGGAGGAGGTCGCTCGTCGAGATGCACTCGAGGCTCAAAAGCTGCTGCAGAAAGAGCTCGAGCTCCTACACGGTGGCATGGGCCATGGATCGTAGCAGCTATGGAAATGCGTACAGGGTACTTGAGCTGGATGTACGCGCTGTCAAACCGCCCGAGCTTCATCGACGGCAAGGCCACAAGCGGCGACCGCGGGTATTTCTTGCGCAGCTAGAGACCATCCTAGACTTCTTGTCATGCGCTAGTGACGTACTTGATGGTGCAGCGACTGAAACTGCGCGTACGACCGGTGGATGGTCTCGGGCGGACCGGTCGACGCGTCCGACACGAGCAGGTCAAAGACGACGTGGTACGGCCGGCGGCTCATCATCGTGTCGAGGTTGAGCCGGCGCCGGCTACCAACGCGCGCCTCCTTGAGCACGAGCGCGTGGCCCTGCACCGTCACGGCGACGACCGGCGTCGGCAGCAGCAGCGGGCTCGGCCGGCGCGTGGCCACGGCCTTCTCCATGCTCGGATCCAAAAATATACGCGCAAAATCCGGCAAAATCCGGCAAAATGAGCAAAAGAGCAAAATCAAATTCGATATTCACGAGGAATTACAACGAAAGGTACGGCTTGCGCGTGCCAGCTTCGTTGGTGCGTGGCGCAGCGACCACGTTGTTGTCGGCGTACCGGCGGCGGCCTTGCTTGGCGTCGTACCGGCGCTTGATGAGGATGCCGAGGACGATAATGACGACGCACGCGGCAATGATGATGCCGAGCGCGAGATAGCTCGTGCCAGAGTTGTCCGAGGGCAAGTCGACCTGGTCCGAGTACTCGTTGAACTTGGCCATCTTCTTCACATCGACAAAGTAGCCGCGGTCCCACATGAGCGAAAACGCCTTCTGGAAGAAGCTACCCGCGTTCGGCCCGCCCTTGAGCGCGTCCGAGCCCGACGCTGCGCAGACGCCGTCCGACTCGCCGGGCACCTTGAGCCAGAGAAAGTAGTCGATGAGGTCGTTGGCCGTGTTGTTGGTCGACGGCACGCCAACGCCCGCGTAGCGCGAGTTGCACCACTCGCCCGTGCCGGCCTTCGGGCCGCGGTAGTTGCGCGAGGTATCAATAACGCAGTGGTACGCGTTCTCGGTCAGCGCGCCAAAGCTCTCGCACATGGTCGTCATCTCGGCGTTGGTGCGGTAGTTGGACGTGCCGAGCGCGATGCCGTTGATGCGGCCCGTCGACGTAAACTGCTTGAGCGTCTCTTTGACGAGCGTCTGGTTGAACGCGGTTTCGAGCATCCAGTAGCCAACATCGATGTACATGAGCGAGTTGGTGTTCTCGGTCAAGACCGGGATCGCCTTGGCCATGTTGTCGAGGTACCCGTTCGTCTTGGCGCACTCTTCCTTGAGCGCAAGGCCGACCGCATCCGGCTCCATAATGTAGAGCACCGGGCGCTTCCCGACCAAATCGGCGAGATCCTGGACCCACTTCGCGTACGCGTCGGCGCCGCCAATCGAGTTGGAGCCGCGGTTACTCTCCTTGGCGCTGCAATCCTTGTTGGGCAGGCCGTAGACGATGATGACGGGCAGCGTGTCTTCGCCGCACTTGTTCAACAGCTTCTGCATCGACTTGTACGCGCTCTCGTCGTTGTCCGTGTACCACGACGCGACCGTCACGTTCTTGAGCGCGTTGAACGCCGCCTTGTAGTTGGGGTACTGCGACGCCGCGCTCTCGTACGTGGGCGGCGAAATGCCGCAGAGCGGGTAATCACTCTGGCCAGAGACGGCGGCGCTCAAGCAGGCCACCGCGGCCGCCATCAACTCGACGAAGCGGACCATCTTCCTCAGCAGATGCGATTTCAGATGTGTGCAACGCATAGCCGCGGGGGTGTCCGGATACCGCCTTTCCCACCAGCCAAGCGTTTCCCACGTAATCGTCAAATAGTGTAGTGAGCTTAAAGAACTGCAAACGCGAGGACGACACGGATGATGGATGGTTTTGGACATGCAAACGACGGCGCAGGAGTGCCAAAGGGAGCGCCCAATGCTTGAGATCTCGACGCAATGGCTTGCAAGCGTTGAGATGATCGAGAACACATCGCGTTCCTGAACGTTGTTACGCGCAGTGGGCAGAGACCAGCTCGACTGAACGCTTTCCATAGTAATTCCAAGCTTCGACCGAGATCCAAGCCGACGATGGAGACGCTAATTCGTGCGCATCAACTGGAATTTGTAGCTGGCGATCGACACGTTAGTTTGTGGGAATCAACCAAGTGCATTGCTCACGACTGGCGAGAAGAGAGTTCTCTCGTGCTTGGTCGCCGTGCACCCTCGGCAGTGGCCTTTCATGCGCCGTCGCAAGCCACAAAGCGCTCCGTCCATCGACTGCGAACTCGAACGTATCTTCAATCGGTATGGGCATCGAGTCGCCAGACAGCGCGAATATTCACACTATTTATGTTACATAATTTTCACACACCAACGTGGTGGGAAATGCAAGCTGGCAAGGCGGCAAGATGGATATATCGTATCCGGACAAACGTGAAAATTTGTCGCCGATCTCCTCGCACCCCATCCGGTTCGAAGCTGGCGTCACTGGCACGATACCGTAGACACCACCTCGCTATTGCCGCCAAGAGCAGCAGTCCCGCGCGCCATTTCGTCGAGCGAAGGACCGTGAGCTGCGCTGTCCACTGTTAATATAGAGCTATAGCGAATGGATCGACCATTAATTCGGACGACGGAAGACGCCAAGGGCACGCGTGAGTCGCAGAAAGCTGCCGTTGCAGCACGTGGCGTAATGGACGTGTCCCGTTGTAATGGCGTCGATTTTCACGCGATCAGTCCATTTCACACCACTATTTTACACGGTTGGAATCGCAGTTGCCGGTCGTGGCGATGTCTGTCCAACGCAATGTCCAACGCTCTTTTGCCGGCATTGCGATGGTCGTGGGAAGCATCCATTGTTTACGCTCCCAGTCCAGAGCCATCCATGCAACCATGCACCTGTGGCCCAGAAAAACACACATGTGAAAAACAGATACGCTAAAGCCACGTTTTACTCGCCTTGGGACACGGTCAAACCAGCCCCCTCGCCTATATACTTTAATGCAGATAGACTACGGGGTCCATGCCATAAAAACAGCAGTTCCCTTGAAAAATACGCGTTTTAGAATTGATGTACGTTTTTCTCCGGTGCTGCCGGATACATTATCCGGATGTGGCCCAAAGATATTTGCTTGTCAAGGGACATATCAAGACAACTGGAGGCGAGTCAAGAAATGCAAAGAGCTATGAAAGAGTTAGTGTTGGAAGACCCACCTTGGGGCTGTCGCCACACTCATGACTCGTACAGTCGGTGAAATGTAGAGTGATATTTATAGCTTTTAGCTATCTTGCAGTAAGTGCAATATGCAACTTCCAACAGTTAGTGCTTCTTGGCGTCGTTGGCGGTCGAGATGGACGCGGGCGGTTGGAGCTGGCGCACGACGGCGCCGTGCGTCGGGTGCAGAATAAGCAGTGCGAGCGCCTTGACCTGGAGGAGGTGCTTGGTGTCGTTGATGCCCATGTAGTCGAAGCAGCCGCAAATGTCCGTGTACCCGTCCTTGTAGAACCGGCCTTTGGCGCCGCCGCTCTTGGTTTGCACAAACACCTTGACGTACGCACGCGGCAGCGGCCGGTGGTTGGCAAACACTTGGAGCTTGCCGCCGTCCACGTCAAAGTCCATCTCCATCGAGTCGCAGTAGTGCGGCCGCGTCACGTCCCACTCGGGGTGCCCCGTCGGCGCAAACGTCACCATCATCTGCAGGCTCTGGAGCGCCTCGGGAATATCAACCGTCGTCGAATTCGCCGAGAGCTCCACTGCTACCGTCGCGCGCGGCTGCACGAGCGCGATCGACGACGCCTGCGCAGTCTTGGAGCCAAACGGCTCGGTCGAGAACATGACTTCCACGTCGACAGGGTACAAGAGCAGGCGGCCGGTCTTGATGCGGTGGCCCTTTTGCACCAACTCGACGCGGTCGCGGTGCACCGTCATGGTGACGCCCACGTCGTCCATGGCGACTGCGTCGAGAGCCATGCCCCGGTGCACGAGCGCATCGAGCGTCGCCAGCTGCGCCCGCACGTTGGCAAAGAGGTCGTGCCACCGGCGGTGCGGGTACGACGCGTACGTTTCGCTCGCCGCTCGCGCGCGCGGGTACGACGCCTCAGCGTCCTCACTTGGCCGGAAAAAGTCCAAGTACGCGTCCATGTAGTCGTACTGCAGCGTTGGCACCGCGTCCCGCGCGACCTTGGCAAAGCACGTGAGCGCCGTATCGACGCGGTTGAAGACGATCAGAAAGTAGGCTAGGACGAGGTAGTCGGCGTCGCCGAGCGCCGGAAGGAGCGCGAGCTTGGCGCACACGCGCTCGTAGTGCGCTTGGAGCTCCTTGTTGAGCGGCGTCTTTTGCTTCTTGGCCGACGCCATCGAGTGCACGCGACGCACAATGTAGGGCGAAAACTCGGCCAGTTCCAGACACGCCTGCAGACTCAGCGGGCCGTCGAGTACGTCGAGCGAGCCAATGCAGCTCTGAACGCCAGGACCGGCTGCATGCAGAAAGGGCACGGCGCGCTGCAAGACGTCGACAATCCCGACCTTGTCCTTGTGGTACGCAGCGTACTGAGAGACCGCCGGGCTGTAGACGAAGCGCGCGCGGAGGAGACTCGTCACCGCGTCATAGGAAGCGCGGTCGCGGAGGCGCCACGTGATGCGATCGAGGTCGAGCGTCTCGAGCTTCTTGTGCTGCCGCAAAAAGGCAACGACGTCGGCTGTCGACCCGCGGGCTGAGACGTCATGCCACGACGTCGTGTCGATGGCCTTGCGCTCGGCCATCACGACAAGCTGCGAGGCGTCCGTTGAGGCAAAGCGCACGGTCGTGTTTTGGATCGCAACGTGCGCAGGGTAGTGCGAAAACGTCCCGGGCGCCGCAAAGTAAAAGTAGTAGACGACGATCTCGTTCTCGTTGCCGCCGAGATCAAACGTCGTGCTGCGCGTGAAGAAGCCGTCGCTCTGCAGCGGAATCGCGCCGTGCGGGATCTGCAAGAGCAGCTGCACGTCCCGCAGCGGGAGCGGGCTCAAGTTGCTCACGGTCACTTGACAGCCGTACATGGTCTGCGTCACAAACTCGGCCACGGGCTTGAGCAGGCCGTTCGAGACGTTCGAGTCGGCGGGGTTGAACACGGTCTGCGTCACAATGAGGTTGGCGGCCTGCGCGGCAATCGCGTCCGGCACAACGACGTCGACTTGCTGTTGCAGGTCTTCGTAGTAGACGACGATCGGGTGCGCACCGGCCGCCGTCACACAAATGCTCGCGTCGTCGACCTGAACCTGCGCGTTGGACGACGTGGACGTGAGCGGCAGGTCCAGCACCGCCATAGCCAGCATGATTTCGGCAAAGCAGCTGTGCGCTTCCGGAAAGTAGGCCGAGACAAACGGTGCTGTCTTGGACAATCGAAGATGGCGCGCATAGTCGAGCCAGTACTTGTTCATCGCGCTCTGCTTCCATTGACCATGCGTCAAGGCAACGCTCGGTGGCAAAAGCCCGCCGCTCCGAAGCTGGCGCGCATCCGTGCCGTCGTGATACCGCGTCTCAACGTGCTTCTTGGTGCTCCCAGGCGCCTTGTAGATCTTGCGCGCAGCCACCTTTGTCGCGTCGCCATCTTTGTTGTCACCGATGTCGTCATCGCTGTCATCGTCGTCGTCGTCGTCATCGTCGCACAAGTCGTACTCCTCGTCCGAGTCGCGATGGCTCTTTTTGAACGGGGTAGCCGCCGGCGCAGCGCTGAACGACGATGCACCAAACGCACCAAACGTCGGGGCGCTCGAGGCCGGTTTATCAGTAGCAAACCCCGAGGTGGGGGCCGCGCTGCCAAACGCAAATTCCGCCGACGACGCTGCAAAGCCAAAAGGACTCGCAGCCATCGCGGGTCGCGCAGGAGTAGTCGTGGTGGCACCAAAGGCAAAAGGCGATGACGTGGGCGCGTAGGCCGGCGACGTGGGGGAGTACGCAGGCGACGTGGGGGAGTACGCAGGCGACGTTGGCGAATACTGAGGTACCGCACAACTTTCGCGCAGCTTACCTGACAGAACCAAGCCCTCGTCTTCAAACGTGACGCGCGAATCGTCGGCGTCGGCGTCGGCGTCGAGTAAAACAGCGTCGTCGTCGTTCTTGGCGACAAGAACGTGCTCAAAGAGTGCCGGGAGCTTGAGCGTCGTCGCGTCGTCGTAGTAGCTCTCGATGAGCCGCTCGACATGGTCGCAAATGCCGTCGGCTGTCGGCAGCGCCTCGGCCAGCAGCAGCAGTTCAATCAACGTCAGTCGTTCCAGTTGCACGTGCGACGCCGCGATCGCCGCCAGTACATCGATGTGACCAAGAACGTAATGGTCGACAAACGACTTGACGAGCTTGGCCTCAAGGTGCGGCGCGACAACGGCGAGGAAGAAGCTCCGGTCCTTCTTGAACAAGAAGACGTTCAACTCGCCCGATGCATTCGCGCTGTAGAGCGCCGCCTTCTGCTTCGTATCGTAGCTACCCCACGCCTTGAGAAAGGCGTTCAAGAGCACACTGCGCGATGTGAGGGCGTCAAGAAGGCTGAACGCGTGCTCGATCGAGTCGTAGACCTCAACTTTGGTCGCCGACGTGCGCGCCAGACGCAGGGTTTCGCCCGGCGAGAGGCATTTGTGGCCGCGGTACTGCAGGTAGTGCACTCCTGGCTCCGTCCCGAGGGCCTCGGCGCTCGAGAGACGCGTGTCGCGCAGCGGCACCTTCCCGCGCGGCTCCGTACGTGGTCCGACGTCCAGATTCGTATGGCGCGACGCCGTGACCTCGCCGTCAATCGCGACAACTGCAACCTCGTACACGCCAGAGAGCGTCTGGACATCGAGCAATGCGACAGCAGCACCCGCATCGTCCACGGCGACGTTGAAGAAGACGACGGAACCGTCTGCGAGAAACGACGTGTTGGCGCGCCGCGATTCCCCAAAAGAAGAACTGGGCAAACAACGTCCCATCATACGACGCATGGCTGACTTGGCGAGCCTCGATTGAGCGGCGTACCCTTCACCTTGACTCGTCTCGGCGAGGTTGCCGCTCGACGTCTCCTCGACAGCGTACGGGTGGAGCAGCAGCGACGGGTGCGGCAAGGCCGAGCCTTGCAGGAGCGCCGAGTGTGGGTGTGCGCTCACGTACGCCCGGCGGCTCAGCACGTACGCGTACTCGTCGCTAATGCGCTTGCTGGCAAAGTACGTCGACGACGGGTACGACGAGTTGTGTTCGACACTGGCGCTCGCCCGGGACGTAATGTCGAGGTAGCTGTCGCTCGCAAAGCCACCGTCGTCCAGAAAACGCTTGCACACAATGTGGACACGCGTCGCCGGCGTCGCATTGCCCAGCTGCACACGGATCGCATCCGGCGTCGACGCGACGGACGCAATGACCACCGGGCGATTCGGGATGGATGTCCCAATGATCGTGTCGTTGCCGTGAAGCAGGTACCGCGTGTGCGTCTTGGACGGCGGCAAGAGCTCTTTCTCCAGGATGCGCACCTTGTAGCAAGCCCCAAACGGCTTGAGCGTCACTCGGTACCAGCCAGCAACGGCCGCCGTAAGCGCCAAGCAGCCGTCGTCTTGGACAACGACAGCGCACGCGTCCGGCGCGGGCACCGACGTATACGTCGTGTTGTGGCTCGTGTGCGTCTGCGTGAGCGCAATCCAGCCGCGCTCGACCCACGAGCGCAGCGTCGCTTGGATGTTACTCGGCACCGGCAGTACGACAACGTCGTTGACGGCGGCGTGGAGCGTCGGAGCGTTCGGCGCCGAGACGAACCGGCTCCAGCTCGAGTGGTCGGCCAGGCCCGGAAGGGTCCACGTCCAGTACCCGCCTGTCGCCGACGTCACTTGAATCGACTTGATGTCGTCCAGGGGTCCGAGATGCACTTCGCCATGCTCGTTCGAGACGGCTGCGCGCTCAACTTGCTCGGCGAGCGCCAAGTGGTGGAAGCGAACCGCCAACGACGCTTTCGCTACCGGCTCGCCGTTGTGTCCGAGTACGAGCAGCACAAACGCCTTCTCAATCGTCTTGAGGTGCACACCAAAAAGCTGGCCGTCGTGGCCCGTACTTGTGTGGAGGCTAAACTGCTGTACATGTTCGACATGACGCAGCGTTGTCGCCCGCTTCGACGATGATCCAGACGCCGAGGCCACGTCCCCCGACAACTTGATTTGGAGCGAGATAGCGTCACTTGGAATCTCAATCACGCGCGCGAGGTCGCGCGTGTCGCTCAAGCGTGCGAGGTTCCGGAGCTCCTTGCGGTTGACCGTCCCTGCCCGGCTCGTTGTCTCCATTGTCAAGACGGTGTTTTGGAGCAAACTCGTGGGCGCAAGCGCGCCGTTGACGTACAAGGCGCCACGAACGAGCACAGTCGCTCGGAAGCCGGGCACGAGCTGCTCGGCGTCGATCGCAATCTTGGCCTCGAGGGCGTACGCCTCCTCGCAATACGCAAAATCGCCCAGCACGCCGAAGTCCTCGACGCCGACAACCACCGGGTACTTGGTCGAAATCGAGGTCGTCTCGTCGAGCGCGGCGTAATAGGGCACCGTGGCCACACCGTCGACCGCAGCAAATGTCTTGACGATCGCTCGGTTGACCGGGTCGGGCAGCGCCACGACAAAGTCCCGCAGCGGCGCATGGGCTTCGTCAAACGCGCGAAAGTCGTGGCCAGCGACCGTACACTGTTGTACAAAATGCAAATGGCCCTTCCGAATGACCGCGCGGCACGCCGCATCGGCACCCACGACTTCGACGACAAAGACGCCGCGGCGAATCGCGTCCAGCGACGGGAACGCAATGCGGTGCGCCGTGCGCACGTGGCTCGGAACGTTCTCGAACGCGACCGTAAACTCTTCGTTGGGCAAGAGCCCGTCGAGCGAGATGTTGCTCTTGATGGCTTCGAACGTCCGGCGCAGCCCGTCGGCCACGTTGAGTTGGAAGAGCTGCACCGTGATGGACGCCGTGTTCTTGACGTGCAGCAGCAGCGAGACGGGCGCGTCCGGGGCAAACGTATCCGGGTTGGACGCAGCAAAACGCACCTCGGACGACTCGAAGACGTCGTGCTCGACGCCCGAATCGACCAAGTACGCTTCGTACTCGGCCCGCGACCCTTTACCCGAGCTCAGCATCGCCACCGCGAGCTGCGTTTGGAGAAACATTGGCTCGAGGTACGGCTCAAAGTCGCTCGCTTCCGCACCAGCCGGCAGCAAGTGCGTCAGAAAACCCTTGATGAGGCGCTACAGCACGGCGATGAGATATATGAAATGTGCGAGGATTGATGGGCACTACCTCGTCACTCTCGGCCGTGATTGCATCAAAGCCGAGGGTCGCGCACATGTCGTGCAGCTGGATCCGCCCTTGGCCCGCGCCACCACGAAAGACTTGCGTCGTGTACGCGTCAAAGATGACGACTTCGTGGACCTCGGCGGCCTTGAGAAAGCTCTCGTTGACATACGAAGCGACGCGCGGGATCGAAATATAGTCGAGGAAGAGGCTTCCATTGTCGGTCGGCGCGTGCTCGATCGCGCAGAGCCATTGGTGTAAAAGCACGAAACGCAGGGGATTGACCGAGAGACCAAGGCGCTGGAGCGACGCCAGCGCCGCTTGCACGTACGGCACGATGTCCGTCTTGGCCGTGAACGAGCTGCGAAGCGCGGCCAAGTAGCGCAGCGCAAACGAGGTGCTCTGCGCGAGCGCGTCGTGATGGGCTTCCCAGAGCGCATCGAGCTGGGGCGTCGAGAACGAGGCAAGGTCGGTCGCGATCGCCTCGTCGGAAAACGCCGCTGCTTGGAGACTCGCACCGACCGCGGTGATGTACTCGGGAAAGTCGGTCCATTCGAGCTGGTGGTGCTTGAGCATCGTGCGGATGACGCACTGCTTCTCTTGGTCGGAAAAGCCAACGCTGTCGTCGCCCCGGACGAGTCCGCGGAAGATGATCTCGCGCGTGAGCGCACTCATGTTGCTCAGCGTGAAGACGCCGTTGCCGTCCAGCTCGAGGTCGCCCGTGTACGTCTGTGTCATGTGCTGCTTGAGACCGCGGAGCTTGGTCATGATGACCTCTTGCACGTCGAATCTACCAAAGCAAGCCAATGCCATGAGCATCGATAAGGAAGCGAGAAATGCGACGTACGCGATGGCGCTCGACGGGCCGTCATTCTTGTCCTTGGTCGCAATCGCAACCGCGTCCGGCGCCGTCGCATGAAAGTTGAGGTAGAGAGTCTCCGTGATGTACGCATACGCGCGGTCGTCGTCGTGCTCGAGGAGGAGCAGGTGCAGACGATGCCGAAGCCGCGTCGCGCGGTGCGGGCACGCCTTGTCATCGAGGAACTTGGCGGCCGCGAGCACCGCGTCGACCTCCTTCTCGTCGAGGGCTGCTACCGCCATGCGATGGAGCCGGAGGATCGCCTCAAAGTACCGCCGGTCCGTCGAGGTAGCCGACATGGCCTCAAGCACGGCTTCCTTGGCTTCCGCGAGGAGGAGCGCTTCCTCGACGCTCGCATCCCGCGACTCGCGCTCCTCGTCCGTCAAGTCCTTCATGCGCGCGGGGTCCTCGGGCGCTGGCATGGCGCTCTGCTGCTGCCGCGGGGCCTTGCCCCCTGTGCTCTTCCGCGCTGTTTGCTTCGTCCGCGCCATGAGCAAGATCGCGCAAAAGTGAAAATGAGCCACAAGGGTTTATCCGGATACACCATCTTGCCGCCGGATTGTGGACACGGGAAAGGGATCTTGCAGAGTGCAGGTCGCGCTCGCAGCACCCACATGCCATGCGCGAGCGTAGCGATTGCATGTGCCATCGATGCGCGCAGCGCTAACCCTGAGTTTAGCGTGTGCACTTGCGATAGTGCACGGCAGTGTGGTAGGATACTGCGCGCGATAGCGCAATGTACGAGCGTAGCGAGTGCATTTGGTATCGTTGGGGCCTGCGCGATAGCGCGTGACCTCAATACGACGCATGGTGTTAGATCAATGAGTTTGTTCGCGATGTTAGAATCGTATCTGGATGTTACGGTTGCCTTGCAGGTTTCTATCGCAATCCGCGCGTCAAGCACAGAATAGGAGACTCGGCCATGGAGAGGCCGAGCGTGTCGGGGCGCAGCGCGTGCGGTAGTCGCAGCAGCGCCATGCTGCGAGCGCAGCGGCAGTAGCGACTGCGTTCGATGTGACCAAGGACCTAAAGCGGAAAATCGACGCGGGGCAGAGGCGACGGCAGCGAACTAATGCGGCGACCGCGCCCGCCACTGCGCCTCCAGGCGAAGCGCGCGCGTCGAGCGGCCGCGCCCGTCACAGTAGAATCGCTGGGCCTGCAAATCCGAGAAGCGATCCTTTAAACCACCTCATGAACGTTATCCATCCTGCAATGTTGATCAAGCTGCTGTGGCCTCTATGCACGAAGCGTCTGCTATGCAGTATTGGACCCGAGTGCCGAAACGATGCGAAGGTTGAAGCGGCTAAGAAAGAGCCCTTCCTGGCGACGGAGGTCGCGTCCGTCGCACGCGTCCGTCACACATTCGCCATGTGAATGCGTGTTTGCAGTAAGGAGGTGCGTTGGACGTGCATAGTACACGAGCCCGTAAGGGTGGAAGGCATCCACACTGCCCAAGCTACGACACAGACATACCGCTAGGTTGCACGCGGCCCCGACACCAAACTGAAATCAAAAAGCGCGCCAGGACCTGTGCAAACCTTCTCCACGAATCAAACCGCTATGCATGTTTCACAGAAAGACCTCTAGATGGCCCACCAGCACTATGCCCCACCTCGACCACAAAGACCAACCACACCCTGCCCCAAGAAAACACGAGGTTTGGGGCAGGGTACGTTGAACTTCAATGCACATGATCCCGTCCACCGAATCCAAACTACCTCACACGCAGTACACGATCCCTCCGCTAGATTGCACGCTACCCCAATGCAAAACCTCAACCAAAGAGCTCGACCAAAACCTGCCCCAAGAAAACACGAGGTTAACCCTAGTATAATACATTACTTGGAGACAGGTTCTGCTGCTGAGCGACGTGGAAGTCTGCTCGGCCAAGCCGGCATGGGTCAACGGTAGTCAGCGTGCAACAAGCTTCTCCCGTGGGCTGCGCAAGAGTTGGGTGCTCAATCCTTGGCACAGCGTCGTTCCTGCAGCCACCGGGTACGATTATGAAGCTTAAAGGTCTCGAACGACCACCGTCATAGCGGCAACGAAGGCGCCTCGTTATGCTCAAGCCTTGGGTGTCGCCAACACATATCGTGTCGAGAATGAGTCGAGATGTCTGAGGGATGTCTGAGGTACTACTAGTTGTAGGCTGTGATATAAAACAGGTGCAATTGCGCCGACTTGCGTTGCAGCGGGGCTAGGGCTCAAGGACTGTGCTCGCCTCTCTTTCGATGCTTGTATCGCAAGTCGACAATCCTTTGAACCGCTTGCTTCTGGTCTCTCGTAGCAAGTCGAGATGATGCGAACGAACATCAGCAGCTCCACCTGGCATTTCAGCCAATGGGAGAGTCGTATTTTAAACCAGCCAATCCACAACGCGCTGCGCCCGAGTATTTGGACGGGCGGATGTCGGCGGTCTGCGTGTGGTGCAAGATCGAGCCGCGGGCGATCGTCTGCGACGAGTGCTTCAAGCCGGCGTACATTGATGTCATGGAGCTCTGCTACACGTGCAATGGTCTATGGCACCGGCGAGGCGCGTCACTGAACCACCGTTGGCGTGAGCTTCCAGCGCCCATGCAGCCCGCCAGTGCGCCGACAGAGCTCTCAATGGGCCACAGCAGTGGCGCCGCACCGCCGACGCAAAGCAGCGTGCTTCGGCAAGCCGCCGAAGTGATCGAGCTCTTCGACGATATCGAGGTTGAAGGCAGTGAGAAGGCGCAGCTCGACGCCATGTGCCTGGTCGAAGATGCGGTGCAGTGCACGGCCCACGCCAGTTGCACGGACAAACACTGCGTGTCGGCAGTGACGCACTTGCAGCACGACGCGCCGTGCTCGCCGGTTTGCTCGGCGCTCGGCGACCTCTTCCTCCACCTGGAGGTGTGCCGCAAGAGCAACAACTGCTACCGCTGCCTCTACGGTGCGCCCTCGCTTGACGCGTACCTGTTGTCATAGTACATTCTCTGTTTAGTCAAGCAGCGCAAGCTTTTGAACCAAGCCATGCTGTATTACCACTGGAGCCAAGGCCCACCCAGCGATATGCGCGTTCTGTCCAAGAAGACGTTCACGACCGACATGCGCCTCCGGTTCGTCGAGGCGTGTCTGCAATTGCGTTCGGTGCAAGTGCGCTTGGCCAAGATCCAAGCGCCGGTTTTCGAGGCGCCGTCGCTCACGCTGCACTACAGCACGCGACTGCCCGGGGTACTCACTTCCTGCAACACGAATCGTCGTCATCGTCGCCTGCTAGCTACAAGAGCTCCAACTCGCAACCGCCAACGACCTCCTCTCGCAATACATTGGCGAAACCATCGAGCGACCAATCTCGTGGTGGCGCGAGAGCGTGCTCGCATGTGTTGGGATCACCGACACACCTGACGCACCGGCGTTCGCGGCGCATCTCGCCCACGTCGCCAGGGGCTTTGTCTGTGACGAGCCCACTTGCGCGCTTGTGATGAGCCACAAGAACCACCAGCGGCAGTGCGCGAGCAAGCGTATTTGCATCTATTGCCACCTCGGTACGCATTCTCTCGGGCTTCTCAGTGTGATTGAATGGATGTTGCAGTCACGGTGCTCGAGCAAAAGCACAAGTGGTACACCACGCGCACCAACGTCGTGAACGCGACCGCAGCACTGAAGAAGGCGATGACGACCGCAGGATCCATGGCGCTGTTGCAGACGCTCGAGCAAACGTACAAGGCCGCCAAGAAGGTGCAGCAGATCGAGCGCGAGCGCCTCGACCTCCTGATTCAGATGCTCTTCCGCTTAACGCAGCCCCACACGCCGATCGACTTGGGCCTTGAGACGTTCCAGTAGCTAATCACGATAGCATTGTGTATGTGTGTCTTGATCCCATGGGCGTCACGCTTCAAGCGTGGCGGGCTCTCGGCACGAAAGAACTGGCGCCGCAGCTGCAGCTAGTACTGCTGCGTTGAGATCATCCGACATCCAACGGGCCCAAGAGCCGTGCGCATCGCTGACCCTTGGCCCATCCACACACTTGTGATTCCGACCGTGGCATCGTCTGTCGCGTCGTCGCTGGCACGTCTGGGCACATACATGTACCTGCACCTGCTGCTACATGGGACATCCTGACGTTGCCTCTGGCAATAGAAATAGGATACGCGGTGCCGCCGCCGCCCTCGCTCCCTCAAATTGCAAGCAGCAGCACAGTGCATCGGTGGGGCGACAGAGGCGCCCGAGCTTCACAACCCGTCACAACCATGCGTGGGGCTTGGCTTCCTAGAAAGTTCAACGATCCGATTCCACCAAGTATGTATTGTCAGAGGTTTAAAACAGCACATATTGTATTGCAATGCGTTTCGAACACTATGTAGAATGCATATCTATTGGTTTTCACAGGTTGTCACGGCGAACGGCAATCTGGCCAGTCTCGAATATACCAGCATGCAGGTCAAGACGCAGCTCATGCAAGCACCGTCCAGCAGCCATCGGCTCGACGTCGATGGCGGCGACGAGTGGGCGTTCGTGGTCGTCTTCCCCAACAAGGATCCGGCGCACATCAAGAAGCTGCTCGTGCGGCTGCAGAAGGCCGGCCTTGAGCTCAAGCTCTTCTACTCCAAGACGACGACGCCGGACGGCGTGCCAACCATGATCTTTTGCAAGGTCCGCGCCAAGCTCAAGGCGCTCGAGGCCGAGGCCGCGCGAATCAACCTCCCGATGCTCATGGACGAGACCAAGCTCGCGGCGCTCGCGAAGCGTGGCATCCAGCACGACGACGGGAGCTGGAGCTCGTTTGAGATTGGCGACGCGATCACCCTCTCGCGCGACCGCCTCACGCCATACGAGTACATTTACATGAAGTACGACGTCAAGTACGACGAGGTCCGGGACTTGTATGCAAAGACGCCGGCGGGCGGCGTCTTCTCGAGCGTCCAGCGCATGGAGCTCATCGAAAGCATGATCACGAACGTCGCGCACTTTGACGTTGATAAGCTCAAGGCGGACGGTGAGATCCTCGACTGCTTCCCGCTGCACAGCGACGACGAGCTCCGCGCGCTCCAGCGCAAGTGGGTCGCGTGGGACTACATGCCGTGGAGCCAGCCGATCCACGATGTGAAAAACTACTTTGGCACCAAAGTCGCGCTCTACTTTGCGTACCTCGGGTACTACACGTCGTTCCTCTTCGTCTCGGGCGTCGTCGGACTCGGCGTCTTCTGCCTCGACATGGGGCTGCGCCAGCGCTACGAGGCGACGGCATCGGACGCAAGTGCGAGTGCCAACTACGTGGTCCAAGTCTACACGGTCCCGGCGTTCGGCGTCTTTATGGCGGTCTGGGCGACGCTCTTCCTCGAGGGCTGGAAACGCCGAAGCGCCGTCTACGCGATGCATTGGGGCACGACGCACCACAGCGAAGCCGAGCAGCCGCGGCCGCAGTTCAAAGGCGACCTCGCCAAATCGCCCATCAACGGCGCCGACATCAAGTTCTTCCACGAAACCGAGCGCCTCAAGCGGCGCGTGCTGAGCTGGCTCGTGCTCTTTGGCCTCATTGGCGTCGTCTTGGTCCTCACGGGCCTCATCTTTTATCTGCGCTACTACCTCGTGCACTTGAACCCCGACATCTTTGTCGTCCATGTGCACGGCCGGGACGTGCGTCTTGGCGGTGCGCTGGCCTCGACGGTCAACTTGCTCCAGATCTTCATCATGTACCGCATTTACGACGGCCTGAGTCTGCGCATGAACGACTACGAGAACCACGCGACCGAGTCGAGCTACGAAGCCAACTACATTTTGAAAGCCATCATCTTCCACTTTGTGAACGCATACGCGGCGCTCATCTACGTCGCGAGTGTCAAGGAGCATGTCGGCGACCAGTGCATTGACGGCGACTGCTTCAACGAACTGCGCTACTCGCTCATCGTGATCTACGGGTCGCAGATCGTCATTGGCAACATCAAGGAAATTCTGGTCCCGCGCTTCTGGGCGTGGCTCGCCAAGCGCAAGCAGCAAACCGGCAACGTGGCAGCGCTGAGTCCGGCCGAGCGCCAATTCTTCAAGTCGCACTATGGCTGGAAGGGCACGTTCGACGACTTTCTCGAGATGATCCTCCAGTTTGGCTACTCGACGTTCTTTGTCGTCTCGTTCCCCCTCACGCCGCTTCTCTCGTTCATCAACAATGTGATTGAGATCCGCATCGATGGCTATCGGCTCACGGCCGACTGCCGCCGCCCGCGCCCGCGCAGCGCCGCCAGCATTGGTCTCTGGGTCGAGGTCCTCGAGGTCTTTGTGACGATCGCGATTGTGACCAACGCGTGGGTCATCTTTTATACGCACAAGTACGGCAACGAGCTCATCGAGTACCTCGAGCAGCAGGATATGGACGTGCCACTGCTGGACCTCGGCTTGTTTGTCGGCTTTGTCACGGTCGTGCTGCTCTTCCGCGCGCTTGTCGCGGCTTGCATCGACGACGTGCCGGCGTACGTCACGCGGCAGCTCGCGCGTCAAGCGTTCTTGACGTCCATGGTCCTGCACCGTGTCAAGCCAGACGACGACGAAGCGTACACTGTGGCCGACGACCGCATTGCCGCCGGCATGAAGATTGCACCCACCGACGACGACCCGCCATTTTGAGTTTTGTAGTGTTTGCAATGGCTTTCTAATGTATCGATTTTGCTCGTCGCGTGCAACGACGAAGAAGACGAGATGACCATCCAGTTTCGTGTCAAACGTCATAATTGGAACAAGTAAACGGCTCCAAGGGAAACCATACCGGTCACGTTGCGCCGTTTGACGAGGAGATCGGCCGCTTGGCCCGAATGGCATCCACAGACCACTGCACAGTTGGCTTCAGGTTCATTGTCGCCTTTGTCGTCGTCTTCCAAGTCACTGCCTTTGTCGCCCCCACAAGCGTCCTTGATGGGTCGTTCGACCTCCTCTGCGTCAGATCGCTGGACTTCCTCAAGCTTGCGCTTGCAAGCCGCGGGCTCGACCTTGCAGGGCCCGGGCCCTTACAGGCAAATCGGAATTGGCTGCTCGCGCGGTCCGGATAGGCTATCCGTAGCATCAGGCCAATCGCTGCGATGGATTGTGGCACGAAGCGCATTCATTGGCTCGTGTACCTGAAGATTGTGGGCACAGAATGAACCTGAATTCTGAATCTGAAAGATGTGTTTTGCTGCCGAAAACAATCTCAACGCAGCATTATCTTCCTTCCTCTTGGCGCAACTGATTGGCGCCAAAGCATCAAGGCAAGGTATCCCTTCTGATTGCATCTCACTGACTCGGCATTTACGACAGTCTACTAGGACTGTTCGGCTCACCGCGTCGAGATACGAAGCCAAGTGCTAGCGCGAGAAGCATAGAGCTGTCATGTTAGCTCGTCGACGGCGTCGTCGTTGTTGTCCGTGGTTAGTTTCTCGACCAAGCTCATTGGCTGCATGCGGCACGAGGTCGGTTGGACATCCGCCGACGTTTGATCATGCGTAACCTTACGAGCACCTGAACTCAATTGAGTTTATGTCCTCTTAGTATCCTAGACTGCCCACCACGTTTGGCACGTGAGCTTGTGCATGATCACGTGGTCGAGCAACGCCAATGGGATAGATCGAGAACTTGCGAAAGGCGACAGGTCTTAACATGGTTCACAACGTCCATGCAATGAGGAAGCAGGCGCGTGCTCTCTGAACTAAAGCCACGGCAACGCGAAGGAGATGCTGGCTGCTGGATCGTTCAGTCGGGACGCGCCACTCTCTCTGCGAGCCTCGCTTACCAAAGAGCAAAGTTGCGTCTGCGATGTGTGCTAGGCAACGGTGATGACGACGACGAGCGACCAAGATACTTCAGTATTGGTCAAGTACTGTTTGTAACCAGATCGATACGACGCCGTGGCAAAGCGACGTCGCAGTCGCACACGGGATGCGCCAGGGACGTGCTGGAACCGAGACGACAAGTGAACGGGCGCCCAAACAACTCGTACGCCGAGGGATCGACTGCACGTGATAGTAGTAGAAATCGATAAAGAGCACGGCGTGCCCAAAGGATCGCTGTGGAACGTCGTTGACGAGCGTCTGCCAAAGAAGATACAAGGAGCTTGGCCGATTCATGGCACCAGTGCAGCCCTCTTCAGCGAAGCCTACGACGCAGCCCGCATGAGATGCATGAACAATCACGATGGTCGATGCACGAGAAGGTCGTCGCGGTCCTTGGGTGCTCGCCAGGAGGGCATCATATGCTCTCCTGGCGGCTCAGAGATCTGCAAAGTTGTCCAGTCCGTACGTCTGAAACTGTACGTCTGTGTCCGTCCGTTGCTTCCGAATGCAGTTGCGCCGCAGTGCAGACCCAAGATCTCACTTGAAGACGCCGCGCAACAACACCTCGAAGTAAGACTCGGTCTGGCCAAGCCGGTATGCCACATTTAGCAAGTATGAGAGCGCGCACCGCAGCGTACGATGCTTGAGCAAGAAGACATTTTTGAAGGATGGCCTTGGCGCTGTCTGCGAAGCGATCCTTGATGACATGATGGCGCTTGTGGTCGAAGATGATGTGGCTGTCTCTACAGTGCACTGATGAGCGTCGGTCGCCGTGCCTGCAATGACGATGGAACATATTGGCCGACCAGCTTGGTGACCTCGTAGCATGTCGTCTAGTACGAGTACGATGGAGCTCTACCACGGGCATTCGTGCTTTGACTTTACTGCCGTCGGTGCTGCCATATCGTGGTCTGCCAGTAGAGCATTGCAAGCTTCTTGCTATGGCCCTCGACCGCGTGGCCAATGTCCTTGGCAGTCCATGCCTTTGACGTGTGCCGTGGCATTGTGTG